GGAATGCTATACAGCATGGCTAACTTTCACCTTTCCTTTCTGGGGAGGCAAAGCTAGTCTAGGTCTGGGGCAGGACACCCTGGAAAGCACACGCTGCAGTGCTCTCTGGCCATGGAGAGAGAGGCATGTGCAAGGTGGTGGGGCTTCTCTGACCCAGCGTCTCCTTGGGGCCTGTTTTTTTTTTTTATTTCTTTTCCTCCAGGCTGTTTTGGGAAGTATTAACTGGGCCTTTCTAGGCGTGGATGAAGCTCATCGGTTGAAAAATGATGACTCTCTGCTGTACAAAACGTTGATTGATTTCAAGTCCAACCACAGGCTGCTGATCACCGGCACCCCGCTTCAAAATTCACTCAAAGAGCTCTGGTCCCTGCTCCATTTCATCATGCCGGAGAAGTAAGTCTGCTTTTTGTCCTTCAAAAAATACCTCTGTGTCCATTCTTGTCTGTTAAATAGACTTGAGGGAGTGCAGAATGGCAGAAATTCCTGAATTAAATTCCTGAATTAAACTCAGTGGAGTTAGAGCAATGAAAGGGGAACAGGCATTGGTGGGGAAAATCAGAGGTTAAATGACTTCACGCAAGGAGTATTTCTGGCAGCAAATTGAATGGGGAAACCTAATACATGTCTTTCAAATCTGTCTGCTGTCTTAGAGCCATCTCTAAAAAGCTAAACTTGTTTTAAGCAATCATCTCAACCATTTCTGAGGTTTCCAGGACATTGCGGTTCATTTTTTTTTCAAACCATTTTATGGCAGTCTCTGGGAGTATTGCTCAAGGACGGTGCTGTCTAGCCGATTGTTCACGTGTCCGCATTATAACAAATGTTTTGTTTTCTTTAAAACAAAATTGGCTAAGACAAGCAAGCCCCAAGGCTCACCGAAATTATGTTTGACTGCAAAAAGAGCTGTCCCCCAAATTCTTTTTGCTGGATCACAGAAAGAGCAAAGGAAAGATTTGAGGTCTCCCAAGTGGAGGAGAAGAGCAGATCTCTGCATTTCAGCGGAGCTGTTGGAGGGAGCAGCAATCCAAAAAAGTCTTCAGAGCAGTGTAAAACGTAGTCCAGTTCTCAAAGCCCTGCCTAGGGGAGGGCACTGTGGAAGGTTCAGAAACTGCTGCCAGGTGAACGCCAGCAGGAGACAGCAGAGCAGAATACTGGGAAACCAGGGATTTTGGGGTCCTGGGAGTCAGTGTGGAGCTCTAAGATAAGATGTTAGGAAGGCACCTAAGCCCAGAGAGCTTCCAACTTTACCACCAGTCTGTTTAGTTAGCCAGAGCAGAGTGAACCTTCTGTCCTCTGCTGTATGTCCATCAAACTGATCATCTCCTATATTGTTGCGCAATGGGAGCACATCCAGTAGATGATGTTTGGTATGGAGGTATTCTGACCCCTCTCTGCTCCTCATTTCTGTTGCTAGATTTGAGTTCTGGGAGGATTTTGAAGAGGATCATGGAAAAGGTAGAGAGAATGGCTACCAGAGCCTTCACAAAGTCCTGGAGCCGTTTCTCCTACGCAGAGTGAAGAAGGATGTGGAGAAATCTTTGCCAGCTAAAGTGGAGCAGATCCTTCGCGTGGAAATGTCTGCTTTGCAGAAACAGTATTACAAGTAAGTAATTTGTTAAGTTACTGGGAGTGCCAGTAGAAATGGGCGCATCTTTCTATATGCCTTGGGAATATGTTTCAGTATACTTTGTCCTTCAGAATGCAGTGTGACAGCCGTCACCTGTAGCAGCAGGGGCTTCCCAGTGGGAATCTGAGGTAGGGTCTTGCAGTACCTTTTCTTCTGTAGTAGTCTGGAGATGCTTTTTTTTTTTAGTGTGATATAGCGCAGCTGGCCTGTTTTGCAGGACAGGCGGCAATGGTTTTTTTGGGGGGTAAAGCATCCCACAAAACTGTGGTGCTGTTCAATGTTAAACTGTAATAATATCAAGAGGAAAGTAAGATCAGGGTTTCTAGTGAGGAAACAGCAGTATCCTGTAGAAGAAGTGAAGAGAGATGGAGAGAGGGGAGTAGACTGGTGCCTGAAAAAGATGTCCCTGAAGGTTTTATTCCTCCCAGGCTCCAGCATGCCCAGTCTGCACTGTGAAATCATCTGGACTTTTTGTTTCCTGCCTGCAGGTGGATCTTGACAAGAAACTACAAAGCTCTTTCAAAGGGAACGAGGGGGAGCACATCTGGTTTCCTGAACATTGTGATGGAGTTGAAAAAGTGCTGCAACCACTGCTACCTTATCAAACCTCCGGAGGAAAACGAGAGAGAGAATGGCCTTGAGACACTGCAGGTGGGCAGTGTCTTTGGTTACCATTGTTTTTCCTTAACTTTACCCTTTCTTTTGTCCTCTCACCAAGAGAAGATCTGGTGAAGCAGCTTCTGCTGCTTCTACATTAGAAATAGTCCTCACAGCTGAGCCACTGAACCTCCTGCCTGCCCTCCCCTTTCACTGTAGGCAAAGTTTTGTGGCCATCTAGAGAGGGAGGTGCATGCCATATAAGGTCTATCTTGGATGATTAATTTTGTGCATGGCCTCTGCTGTGTAAATCCAGATGATTTGATTAGAGGTGTATGGGAGAAGCATGACCCCAAAAGAACCAGATCTCTGCATGTCTCTGTGTAATGTACATAAGGGTAAGTTGGAAAGCATCAGCTGGAATGACGGTTACTTCTTCAGTCTCTGATCAGGAGCAGTGGAAAGCTAATTCTCTTGGACAAGCTGCTGACCAGGCTGCGGGAGAGAGGCAACAGAGTGCTGATCTTCTCCCAGATGGTGAGGATGCTGGACATCTTGGCAGAGTACCTGACTATCAAACACTACCCTTTTCAGGTGAGAAACAGCATGGAAAACAGTGGGGTTCACTTGAAAACTCAAGAAAATGCTAAGGGAGCCTGGGCAATGGGAGTCACTGAGTTTCCCAGAGGCTGGTGGCTGGGATTACAGGTCACACTTGCTGGATTACACTGGAGGGAACTGGGAAGTCCCTTCGCTTCAGTGCAGCCCCATCTCTGCAAAACACCTCCTCTGACAGGCCCCTGCTTTGGCCTTCGTCCTGTGAGAGGACAGCAAGCACAGAGACCCTGGCGGGGAGCCTGTAACAGGAGCTGCAGTGTCACCCGCTGTGTGACTGCTGCCCGAGCGTACCCCCCTCCCGCCCTCGCGACACCGCGGGCTACGGCAGAGCAGTTGGTTTTAATTGGCGGTTATTTTTAATGATTAAATGCTGCAGGCAGGGAAGGGGGGCTGTAGGGCTCCCAGAACTTGGGTGCAGCAGTTTCTCAGGGCTCCTTTACCTTCTTTCTTTTATCATTATTGTTGATTTTTCCAGCGCTTGGACGGCTCGATCAAAGGGGAGATCCGAAAGCAGGCGCTGGACCACTTCAACGCTGACGGCTCCGAGGTACCGTGGCTGGGGCTGTCCTGCCTCGGGAGGGTCCGGGTGGGCTGCCCGAGCAGTGGGCATCTGTGGCTGAGCCACGGGCTGTGACTGCCAAGAGGGGGATTCGTGCAGTTCATTTCTTTTTACAGGACCCCAGATACTTTTAAAGACACAGATATAGCATGTTTTGCAACTGGCCATATTGCTTATTTTAAATCTCCCACATCCAAAGAACAGGGTGGCACATCACATCTCCAGAAAGTCCCCAAGAGGCTGGAAAGAGCTAGAATTTAGCAATTCTCTCCCCATGGTCTGCGGAATGAGATGGTTGCTAAATGTTTCCTCCAGTCGGAAACTGGTTTTGGATATGAAATGGCAGAGGCAAAAGGGGGATTTTAAGTGTTGGCAGGTAGTGGAGTCTGGTGTTGGAGGTGAAAGTCTCCAGCGTAATAGGAGAGGGCATCTCAAGCCTCTCGTCTGGGCTTGCTGACTCACAGTGACTGGTGCAAGGCACTTGTTTTGTGCCACAGTCAGCTCAGCTGTGAGAAATACCTTTCCTCACTCCAGAAGCCTGGACTGGACTGGGATTCTTGGCTGACACAGGGAGACACAGCTAGGTGCTTCGTGGTAATGAGAAAGTTAACAAATAAAAGTGAGGAGGAGACAGCAGTGCCGGCGGGTTATGCCCATAGGAGCTGCCCTTTCCCCTCTCCTGGGGGCATCCATAGGGGCTCAGGCATCCTGGCTCTAACCTGGCATCCTGTGCCCTTGGGCAGTGACTCAAACAGCCTGTGTTTGCTGCTGATCTCACCCCCAGCAGGCTACAGGCAACAAAAAGCACGTGTTTGCCTGCTGCCTTTGTACGAGTCTGATGGGCAGCGTGGTCCCACCATCCAATCTTCAAAAGTGACTCCAAGGTGCCCTTGCCCTGAGCTGTTTGTGTTGCCATCCCATAATTATGTGTGCTGGGCCCTTCCTGGAACAGCACACCTTTCACCCCTGCCAGCACCACCTCACTTGGTGCCTCGGCTTAAAGAGCAGTGGTACTTAGCCTGTGTGGGAAGGAAATCCCTTTTCTGCTTTCTTAAGAAGCATGGGTGCAACAGAGCCTTCCCTCTGTTTTCCTTGCATAGCTTTGAAGTCACCATTGCTATTTTATGTCCACATAACTCATGGATGCCTTTTTTTTCACCCCCCCCCAGGACTTCTGTTTCTTGTTGTCAACACGAGCTGGAGGGCTGGGAATTAATTTGGCCTCTGCTGATACTGTTGTTATCTTTGACTCGGACTGGAACCCCCAAAATGATCTTCAGGCTCAGGCTCGGGCTCACCGGATTGGACAAAAGAAGCAGGTTGGAAGAGTTACCTGGGTCATTTTCTCTGTGGCTTTGGTGTGTGCATCTAAATAGGCTCCCACCTCACCAGAGCTTCTGCAAATACGGTCTTTTTGCCCCTAGTCCTGACTACAGAGGGTACTGCCAACTCAAGGGAAGCTCATTTAAAATCCAGGAAACAAAAAATCAGCCCAAATTTGCCAGATGCCAGGTCTTTCTATTGGCTTTGGATCCGGGCATGGTTCAAAACCAAGAACCCAGCCTGTGGCATCACACTTCTCAGCCTGGTGGACTCTGTTCTTTCTTGCCCTGAAAAACTTGGAAAGTAGAACATCCACCTTTACGAGGGTTTTATTAGATATGTGAAAAGTTTGTTGCTAGTTTGGTTTTAGAGTGATTGTTTCAGAAGACTTTTAATCTGTGCTTAATCATGCTGCAGGAACTGTGTTAACCAGCCTGATTTTAGCTGATCCTCTTCGAGATGTAAAAAGTATGTGATGGGTTTTAGTCTAAAAAGACACATCTGTGCATGAAGGCACCATGGCAGCAGACTAGTCTCCTGCAAAACCACTGTGTCAGCAGAGCATGTTCAGGTCCAGGAAATAGCTCCGGTCTTTTCTTGCCCTTCAGGTGAATATTTACCGCCTGGTCACAAAGGGTACGGTAGAGGAGGAGATCATTGAGAGGGCCAAGAAGAAGATGGTGCTGGATCATTTGGTGATCCAGCGTATGGACACCACTGGCCGGACTGTTCTGGACAACAACTCTGGGCGATCCAAGTAAGTGATTGTGTCAGGAGGCAGAGATGTCTGGTATAGCGTGTGGCATAACCACCTTCAGATAGGGTACAGGGCAGAAGGCTAGTAAATAATGGGAGCATCCACTGATTTGGCTCATGCAACCATTAATTTGGACATACAGGATAAAAACAATCGGAAATGGGAAACTAGTTTTAATGCGTTACCTGTTTTTCCTTCTGTTTTCCTCTTGAGATCATCCTGGTCTGAGGAAACCTGGTGGTGGAAGAGCTGCTGTTTGACAGTGACCTCAGACTCTCCCCATTTCCCCCCCAGTAGATGGAGATTGTTCCCTTTACAGTAGTTGTCCATGCTAGAGCAGGAAAGAGATGAGGGACTGAATAAAAAGGCTTTTTATAGCACTGGGTAGAAAACTTACTTCTTGCTCTAATTAGGAAAAACTTCGGTATGGTTTTGTGCTGTAGCAGTGCTGACTTAACAGCTCAAAACACGTTTTCCTTCTCATTTCTTCTTGCAGCTCAAATCCTTTCAACAAAGAGGAGCTGACAGCTATTCTGAAGTTCGGAGCTGAAGATCTCTTCAAGGAGCTTGAAGGGGAAGAGTCAGAGCCTCAGGTAGTTTGAAATTGAAATCGTATTAGCTGTTTGTAGTCCTCTGCAGGTCTGTATGGGGGGTTGTGTGTTTGCTCCCTGTTTGTACTTGCCCTGTGCATGAGAGCAGGTCGGTGAGTAAGGGCACGTGTGAGTCCAGAGAGGCTGAAGGAAGAGAGCTCTGGGGCTGGGGAATTGGGGGTTGAGAAGACCCTTGTTGTCAGGGGTTAGATAGTAATGGTCACCAAGAGAGTCCCTTGGCTCCTGAGGATTCATTAGCTAGTTACAGCACAGCCTGCTGAAAGCTCCTCTCCCTGCCTTCTCTGAGCACCTCTTCAGCATCCTTTTTTGGTTGTTCTCATCGAGAGGCGGGAGTCAGCACAGTGAAGTTGAATAGGTTGCTCTCTCCTGCCTCAGCACAGCATTGCTTGGCAGTTCAGTATTAGTGCTTTGACCAATTCTCTTAATGGTCCGACCAGCAGAGCTTCCCCTGAGGGAACAGTCCACAGTTCATATATCTCACCGTCTAGAAATTTTCCCTGCTGCTCAGCCTTGGTGTTCCTTTTCTTCCTTCCTATCACCCTTATTTATACTGTTTTGTATCGCTTGAGATAGTTCATCCCTGCCCTTGGTGATGACACCCTGCAGATATTTGCACTTTATTTAGCTCATATCAGCACAGTGTGTGTTTCGCTATTGCACCCCACGAGTCTGTTCTCAAAGCCTCTTATTTCCTGCTGTGCTTGGCACCCTCCGCTTTATCACTCTTTCTTTCTGACTGGTAGGAGATGGACATTGATGAGATTTTGCGTCTGGCTGAAACACGAGAGAATGAAGTGTCCACCAGTGCCACCGACGAGCTCCTCTCCCAGTTCAAGGTACGGACCCCCTGGCTCTGTAGTGGGGTGCCGAGAATGTGACTCCCCACATCTTGCCACGGTGGTAAGGTCAGGAACAGACAGGACAAATCAGGCCCGGTGAGAGGTGACCTGTACAAAGCAGTTTGCTGAGGGGTTGTCTGGGTTTGGTAGCTGGGGAGATACATAGGTATTAATTTCAAGTAAGTGGTTTTGAAGGCTGTGAATAAAATGCAGAATTTACCAAATTTGGAAACAAAGCCAAGAACTTACAGAGACTCAGCAGTACTTTTTAAACTGCACGTACTTCCTCAAAAGCTGTTAGCCCAAAGATGTGGCAAAGAATGTGGTGACATAAGGATCAATTACGAAGTAGTTATGGAAATGTTGGCAAAATTCCTATGGGGAAGGAGTCGAGGCTTTGCAGACAGCTCTGGGGTATTCCTGCCAAGGGAGGGAATTTCTGAAAGTGTTCCTTTGATTATAAAAGGTGGCCAACTTTGCGACCATGGAGGAGGAAGAGACAGAGCTGGACGAGCGGTCCCAGAAGGACTGGGATGATATCATTCCAGAGGAGCAGAGGAAAAAGGTGGAGGAGGAAGAAAGGCAGAAAGAATTGGAGGAAATCTACATGCTGCCTCGAATCCGGAGCTCGACTAAAAAGGTACGGCCCATCTCGAGGAGCTGAGAGGCAGGAGGCGAGAGCTGGCAAAGGCAATGCTCAAGGGAAGCCTTCTTGCCATCTGAGTGCTTCTTTCCCTCCTCCAAAGTTAGGTAGGAGTAAAGCACAGAGGTAGCACATTGACTTCTTGTTGGCATCATGCATTGGGCTCACGGTTTGTAACGCAGTTAGCAGACAAAATAAAGAGAGCCTGTAGTGAGCACAGGGCAAGATATCCAACTGTACAATGCAGATTTTACTGTGGTTTATGCCATTTTCTGGCTGTTTCTTTTTCTTGGGCTCTTTAGCTCCCTGGGAGACTCTTGCCTAAATGCGGCTCTTTCAGGTAAGAGATAGTGTTGTCCCAAGTTCTTTTTTAGGTGATGGGATCTACCCCAATCCAACAGAAAGCAGACTATGCAAGGAAACTCTTCTGGGATATGGGACTTTAAGGGGTTATGAACTGAGATAAGATGGGGAAGAACATTAAAGTGAAAACTAGGGAGAAGGATAATTCATATTGGATGATTCCAGATTAATTTCTGAGGAGTCATGGTTTTCAAAACAGCCTAAGGGGGCTGTGGCACAAAACCACGGTAATCGATGTGTTTTAATGTATCTTATGATAGTAAATCAAAATGCAATTGTGAAACTGCTGGCTAGAAGGCTCTAAAGGGAGGATGGCCACCAGAGCCTTAGCTAGCTAGAAGCTGCAAAAGTGTGCAGCCTCTCTGGGTTGATTATGTGGACTTTTGCGTCTTCAGGAGGATATGCCGAGGCATTTTACAGTCTGAATGTGAAATAGTGCGAGTGCATGGGAGGGACAGAAAAGGTTGGCAGATTAGCAGTTGTTAACTGTACTGCTGTTTTTCTGGTACATACAGGCTCAGACAAATGACAGTGAATCAGATGCAGAAACTAAGAGAAGGCTTCAGAGATCATCTGGATCAGAAAGCGAGACTGATGATACCGACGACGAGAAGAGACCAAAGCGCAGGGGGCGTCCTCGAAGTGTTAGAAAAGATACTGTGGAAGGATTTACTGATGCTGAAATCAGGAGGTCAGTGCTGAGCACAAGAGACAATACAGAAAACAAATGCAGAAATCCCATGCAGGTGGAGAAAATCTGGGAGGTGTTCACCCGTGAGCATGTCAGTGGTTTAGGTGGAGCTGATTCACAGGGCCAGCTTCTGCACCTTTGTATGATTCAGTTTGCTCCCAGCTGATGACCTTAACACACAGGTCTGTGCAAAATGGACTGGCCTGTCTTTAGTCAGGCTGCAGTGAAGCTAGTACCTTCCTAAAATTAATCCTTGTTGTAACTGCCTCTCCTGGGCCAAGTGGATTGAGCTATTCCTTATAACGCGTGAGGTCTTAGGTGACATAAGACACAGAGCTGAAGAAGCCAAGGACTCTGACCTTCCTGACACTTTTTTGGCAGTAGTCCTGCTGATTTAAGCTTTAAGTGAAAGGCAGGCTCTGGGAAAATAACCCCATGAGAAGCACTTGTCCTGATGATCCCAGCGGTTGTGTATCCTCTTCTGCACTGTGTCCCTGAAAGTCAGTTGGGGGCTGAATTCCAGAGCATTATTTTCTTCTCATATCTTCTAACTCTTGAGCCTTTCCCAAAGATCTTTTGTCTTGGGGCTCTGCCCAGATGTTCAGCCAAAGATGGGGTTGTGAGTTTGCCTTGACTCTATCTCTGTGTCTGAGTTGACGTATTTTTAAACAGGAGATGGTCAGACTTTTCAGATTGTGGTAGCTGCCCCATATCCAGCCTGAAACCACAGAGAAGGAAGGAGGTGGTGTGATGTGAACTATAGCAGCTGGTTAGGTTATTGTGATGTAGCAGAAAGAAGCTGAAAGAGCACAAGATGAAAAAAAGAAAGGAAAAAATTAACTCACTTTAAAAACAATCCGTAGTTGAAGCCATTGGGCCTGCTCCCAGCTCAAGACACTGTTCAGTTGCAGCAATGGTGTCTGACTCCTGCCCTGAAGTTGTGTGTTAGCCATGGCAGTGATTTTTCACAATAAAAACAAGACATAAAAATAAATAGCAATCCTTGTCTGCAAACCTCTGTAATGGATTGCACCACATTTGGCTCTTCTGTGATGGGTTGTTACACTTATAGCCTGAGCGTTAGAATTACTAATGACATTGATTTAATGCCTCTTTTCTCCTTGGAAAAATGAGGTTAATAATTACCAACATGGTGTGAGCCAATGCCTTCTTTCAATTTTTTTTTACGCTACAGTTATGACTTTTTTTTTTGTTCCCTTCATCTGTGAAGCATCCAACGTTCATAACAATGTTGTGTTCTTCTCCAGCCAAGGTCACAAAGCTCTTTGTGGGGGATAATGGATTAGACTTCCCAGTCCTTAGTGATGTTTAGTTAATCAGCGTGGAATGCAAGGTTGATAACATGGCAGGCTGCAATTAATGTATTCAAGCGTATTTGTGATACTGCACCCACTTTTTATGGCAGTTGGTTTAGTTTCTGGTTTTTTTTTTGTTTTTTTTTTTTTTTTTGCTTAGGTTTATCAAGGCTTACAAGAAGTTTGGACTCCCTCTAGAACGGTAAGTCCCAACCTGGCCCTGCTCCAGAGGGTTATCTTGGGGGGACGTTGTGTTTGCCATGCACAGATTGCGATGGGTGTTTGATACAACCTCCATGGACAGCACAAATCCTTGCTGTCGTGTGATCAGTAACTCCAGCACTGCCATACAGTCCCTTGTGTCTCAGTTGATGGGCACTGGTGAACGCTGGCCAAAAAGCAGCTAGAGCAGTCGTGGTGCTGGGCTGTACACAGCATCATCCTGCTGGCAGAGTCTGGCCCTTGGGGCGTTTCCACTCTGCCTAGAAGGGAGAGAGAGCAGCTGTCTGAACAGCAAATGATACCCAAAACGCTTGCCAAACTTCTCCATACATATTAGTTTCAAGACTGAATTCAGAGCATCTTTCTCTCGCTGCTATTTCCCTCCTGAAGGGAAGCGGGGAGAGGCACGCACCGTCCTCCAGTGTGGGTCTGCAGAGCCCTGCAGGGGTGCCGTGCCCCGGCATACGCGAGGGAGGGAGCGAGGTGGGCACGTCTGCTGGGTCTGGCAAGCTGTAGCCCTTGATGGGGTCTCAGAGCTGAGGCAGGGATCCCAGCATGTACTGTATGAGAAATGACTGCGTATTTTCAGCTGGTTGTACTCTTCTATTGTGAAACATAAGGCTTGTGTATGGGCCTTGACATTACTAACTTCAGCCAGGAAAAGGGACAGCAGATGGCAGCTTCTGACCATCAAATGTAGTTAATATGGAACTGGGAAGGCATGAAGGAACACTGGACAGCCACAGGGGGTGCCTGTTGTGCTCCAGAGAGACAGTTCTCACTTTTGCTTTAATACTAAATAATTCAAAGGATTGGATCAGTTATACTACATCAGCACTGTGCTGCAGTTGTTAGACCTACACAAAGACTAAAACTGTGTTGTTTCCTGCATGAGCTCTACTCGTGAAGGTTTCGTACATTCATGCATACACAGCATTGACTACTAAAAGCTATGAAACGATTGCTCAGGAAGTGACTGGGAGCAGATAACGCTGTATCAAAAACAAAACTTGCAATTCTTTTTTTTCCCCTTTCCCAGGCTGGAGTGCATTGCCCGGGATGCTGAGCTGGTAGATAAGTCTGTGGCTGATCTGAAACGGTTAGGGGAGCTCATCCACAATAGCTGTGTGTCAGCAATGCAAGAATATGAGGAGCAGCTGAAAGAAAATCCAAGTGAAGGTAAGCAAGAGGGTTGTGTGCTGCTGTTATGATGGTTTTGGGCGTGATCCATAGAGCTGGTGAGGAAACCATTCTGGACGGGGAGGCATGCCACATGGCGACTTAAAAGCAAAGAACAAGCGCACACTTAAACTATCCCATCTCTGGTAGGCAGCTCTCACCAACAGAGAAACCCCTGAGTCTGCTGCTCAGACTGGAAAACGCCATTTGTTGGCTTCTGCTGAACATGAGTTTTCATGGGGAGAGGCTGAAGTCATCACCTTATTTAATGCTGGGCCACAAGGCAAAGCAGATCATATTTTAACTGCTCCTGGGACTGGGAATCAAACTGGTGCTGTGTATTCCATGGTAAAGCTGGATCCACAGTTGGCACTTCCCAGAGCTGGTTTCATCAACCACTCTCTGTATGGCTGTTCTGTGCTGTTGGTTTGGAGATACAGGGGTCTGGGCTGGATTTCCTGCTGGGTTTCTGCCTGTTGCAGCTGAACTAAACTATCGAAGCAACAGCTCCAGTGTATTTAGATGTGTTTTTAAGAAAGTGATACTTGGGAGGTGCTTGGATTGCAGACCGTGTGAGTTAATGGAAAAAAAAAAAATACTTTCGGCCTGTCTTTAGCAGACAGCCTTATATTTAAATAAGAGGTTGTGGGCAAGGTCTTGATCTCTGTGTGTCCAGATATTTTTACAGAGGCACTGCTTTCTGTAAGAGTTCACTTAGTTGCTGTGTTTTATTGTTGAGCAGGGAAAGGACCTGGAAAAAGAAGAGGTCCTACCATCAAGATTTCTGGTGTCCAAGTCAACGTGAAATCCATCATCCAGCATGAAGAGGAGTTTGAAATGCTACATAAATCCATTCCCACGGACCCAGAGGAAAGGAAGAAGTGAGTTGGGCTAAGTAGGCAATACAGAAAGAGGCTCATGGAATTTGGATTTTGTAGTGGAAGGAGAATAGCCTAGATACATGGATTTGCTTTATCCTCTGCAGCACTAAAAGTAGCTCATGTTTGAAATGCCTTCAGGTACCGCCTGACATGCCGTGTCAAAGCTGCCCATTTTGATGTAGACTGGGGAGTGGAGGAGGATTCTCGCTTGTTAGTGGGAATTTACGAGCATGGTTATGGAAACTGGGAGCTAATTAAAACAGATCCAGAATTGAAGTTATCTGATAAGGTAGGTCGCTTTGCTTGTTGCTTGCATTGGGTCCACTGCAGTGTTCATTGAGAACACGTTTGATTTACTCCAGAAACAGATGTTTATGTTTGTAACCACTCCAAAAATAATAATAAATAATAATGAGGAAAACAGTGACCTCCATGGAATGTTGCATGCTTGATGGAAAGCCGAGTTGTGTTGTTTGATTAGCAGTAAATTTTCTCTGAACGGTACCATATGAACCACACTGAAATGATGCAGGAAGAAAACGGTAATGCTGACATATGTGGTTACATGCACAGTATAGAGAGTGCATTGCATAATTGTGACTTGATATTTCCTTGAGCATCTCACAAGAAGCTGAGTCTGAATTTCTGTGTGGAAATAATTTTTCACAGATTTGACACTGCTTATGTCAAGACTGGTCTGTGTTAGCTTTGAGGGTATAGTTACACGACTGGCTATGGCAGCAAAGCCAGCTGGAAAGCCTCCATCTAGTTCCTCTCTTCCTCAGTCATTCCCATAAGAACTGTTTATGGGGGCCATGTTGAAACGATCCAGGTTAAAAATAAGCCGCCATCTGTTGTGTCAGCACAATGGAAGGAGAATGAACTGCAACACAGGGCTGAGGAACATCGAGACTCTCTACACCAGCTTTGCTGCCAATAAACTGCATTCCCATGACATCCCCGCTAGTGTTTTTAGCAAAGATCAGACTGTGGCTGAGAGCCCTCCTACATAAAGTTCAGAAAGGCATTGTACGATGGAATTGCCTGAAAAACGCCACCCAATTTTCAATGAAGTATGAAGGTAACCGTAGTTGGCAAGCTGAGATACTTCCTCCACAGAATGACACCTTGCAGCCTTGTTTTCTGCTAAAAATTCTGCATCTCTGTCATTGCTGTAGCAATGTCTCAGGATACCAAAGAAGGCCAGCCTGCTGTGACAAGGCTGTCACAGACAAATCTGATACGCCAAGGAGACAAGACTCAGTTTTGCAATGCAAGGTCCCAAATATATTTTGCAAAGGTTTTGGTTTTTTTCTTTTTGCACATTTACAAAAGATTGTAAATAATCTAGAGAGCTGCCTGGGGGTCCTTTCACTTCTGCAAAAGGCCAAGGGGAGGGATGCTTGGTAGGGGCTTTGCTTTTGGCTAGACTCTGTGTAGGAGTTGGAAGAAATGATTGAACCTTCTTGTTCCTCCAGAAGGTGCAACATCTCCAACCCTTTGCTGGGCCTGGAAGGACTGCTGCTAGCATGTGTGTATCTTTTTTTTTTCCAAGGTTTGATAGATGCATGTGGGTGTTTTATTTTTTTTTTCTTCTTTATCAAAGATTCTACCTGTTGAGACAGATAAGAAACCTCAGGGAAAACAGCTTCAGACCCGAGTTGATTATCTACTGAAACTGCTGAAGAAAGATCTGGACAAGAAAGAAAACATGAAAGATGGGGAAGAGGTGAGATGTGGCTGCTTGGTTCTGGGGGTTTCAGGATGAGTGGTTGGCTGATGGCAGGAGACAGCCTGTGTTCCCAGGTCACTGAACATCGTCTACGTGAAAGAATATGAACTTGTCTGATTGCATTGTGATACTGAAATGATAATTAGTAAGGGACGAGTAATTAATTATTACACTTACTGAAGGACTCAGGCTCGTCAGGCTTCCTGCCACCCTGCAGGACCTGTGGCTGTTTGTGAGATGTTCAGGAGATGGGGTATGTCCCCAGGAAGCAGCTGTAGCTATTTGCTTGCCCTGACTTGTTCTGTGTTTTCACCAGGGCAAACTAAAGAAGAGGAAACCACGAGTAAAGAAAGAGAACAAGGCTCCCAAAGTCAAAGATGAGCATGGGAATGAACTCTCCTCTCCTCGGCACTCAGACAACCAGTCAGAAGAAGGTGAAGTCAAGGTGAGTCAACTTGGTGGATAACCGCTTTTCCAGGTTTCCTAGAGCTCTGCTGTTACTGCAGAAACTCACCTTGAGAAGCACCCCTAGCAAACGCCCTGCGGAGTCGGGGGGCACTGCAGAGTGCGTTCCCACGGGAGACTGGCACTCTCGCAAACACGTATATACAGCTGTTGGGGTGAAAGAAGGACCTTTCCCACCCGCTCGTTTAGGTTAGTGCTTTAAGTGTTTTGGGGGATCCTGGAATGGCCACACACATCCATACATTGACTTGGAGGAAAGGTTGTTTCAGGACAAACTCTGTTGCCCTTATAAAGGAGAGAGAGAGAGAAGAATTGTTTCTCTCTCCTTTTCAGTACGTCAGCCAGCGATGAAGCTGGAGTTTACCAAGGTCATGCTGTTGCTTAAAAAAACTTCTGTCTTTGAGTGGTTTGGCTTGCAGTCTAAGGCTTTTTGTTCAAGTGCTGATCAGTATCTACCTTAGGGGCTGAGCGTTCTGGAGCACAGCTGGCATAGGAAAGCAGTGCTTATCTACAGTTTGCCAGCTACATACAGATTGGGGCTTGTCTTATTTTTATATTCCCTTTTGTCAATGGTTGGGTGGACTGCAGCTGGTTAAGCAGGGCTTGCTGTCTGGTTAAAGAGGTGTGAGGGCAAATTTGGATGGGCCTCAAAAACTGCTTGCCTTTCAAGGATGTGAGTTTTATGGAAGAAAGTGTACGTGAGGTGAGGGACTCCAACTTTGTGCTGTGACTGATTTTCTAGGAGGATGGCTTGGAAAAGAGCCCAGTGAAGAAGAAACAGAAGAAGAAAGAGAACAAAGAGAACAAGGAAAAACAGACAACCACTAAGAAAGAAAAGGAAAGCGATAAAGAGAAAAAGAAGACAAAAGACAAGAAAGAGAAGGTATGTGGTACTGTCAGGAGCAGATTAAGAGACAGGAAAGTCTCGGAGCAGAAGGGCAAGCTTATGATTCAATAAAGGCCCTCTGTGAAGAGACATTAATGAAGCACTGTGGGGTGACAAGGTATCCCTTTTTCACCCCTCCTGAATTCTTATTGTGAAGAATTGCAATAAAAAGTAGAAAAGACAATATATCCTAAAGCTCACTGGAATGTGAGCAAAAAGGAAGACTGCTTTTAAAGTACAGCTGTCCCCGTGACAGTGATATGGCCGGATAGCTGATGTTAAGGAAGAAAGGGGGAAAGAGCCTGGAGCACTCAGATCAAAGTTCTGTTCAGCTGTGATTTATCACAGGGTTGGCAGCTCCTTGTCTGTATTACCCTCTAATTTAAACTCACCCCAAATAACCCAACTGTCCGCACCATCAAGACTGTAAGTTGTCCTTGTCACTGTTCAGGACTCACGAGAATGAGTGTTTCAACATCAATGGTATGTTGTGGACTAAAATGTCCCTTGAATTTTGGGTACCACTGCCCTGAGGCTGGATTCAAATTGGAAGGGGGGGTAAAAGCTTCTGTAATAATGACCTGAAGTACCTGTCCAAGGAACAGGTATGTACTGCATGCCCAGTGTGCTTTGACACTGAGGTCACGAGTGCAAACCAAGAAGCTTTGTTGCATATGTAGGGGAAAGTTTGCTTTCCAGCCATTTTTGGTATGACTTTGACTCTAAAGGGCTTTGACTGCAGATAAGTCATGTAATTCAAAATTTACACTAGCAGGCCATGGTTTGCGGTTGCTTTCCAGAAGATCTGAGGACCAGTGACATCACATGAAGTTGCAGATCCTATAGACATGAGACTACTCTAAGCTCTGTCCTTTGCAAGGGACATATATGCTTTAGCTTAACTTCTTTTCCAAGTCTTCAATGTTGGTTTTTCTCTCCCTGTGTATGAACGTCATATTCATGTCCAAAATGTTGGCTCTGATTTCTCTCTACTCCCTCAGGGATGACGTAAAGCTAAATAGAGGCATTGCAGCTAAACAGTTTGAGATCTTGGGAGGAAAGTTGTAGGAGCAGTGCCCGGGATTTAACAACTGCCAGTAACAATAGTGTGGAGGTTGTTAGTTGGATCACTTGGGATCCTGCAGTCTGGCTCATCATGTGATGTGTGTAATTTGTCCTTGTAAAGCCTAAAAGCAGTGAAGCCAAATCTGGAAGTAAAGGGAAGAGATCGCAAGGTCCTGTCCACATTACAGCAGGGAGTGAGCCGATCCCCATTGGAGAAGACGAGGACGATGATCTGGACCAAGAAACGTTCAGCATAGTGAGTATTTTCCTGGGTAAGATGGGAGGGCAGTGGCAGAGAACACAGAAAAAGCAGCCGGGGTTTGCTTGCACGTTATCCAAGGACATGGTTTAGGTGTCAGGGTGTGAGCCCCCTCGTAGTGCCCCACAGTGATTTTGTTTGGCTGGTCTGAGAGCATGGCAGAACAACCCTGTACGAGAGTTGTCCACCAGCCTCCTCTGTGCCTACCAACTGGCTGCTGTAAATGGCACTTCAACTGGAAGAAACTTCAAAGCTCTTCCAGCTCCCGATTCTCACCAAGCAATTGCCCTGTTAAAGGGTTCAGATAACCCTCTTCAAAATTCGGCTTTGCGTGAGTGCATGTTATCCCCTCCCTCTACCAGGGATGCCAGCCAGGGCAGAGGAGGGCAGCATGTCGACAGAGCATGCAGAAGGGCTCTCTTCTTCAGCTGCTGAGTTCCCACCACTCTTTTGACAGCCCTAGATTACAGAAGACCCTTCAGCCTTATGTCACAGTCTCCCCTGTAGAAGCCAAGGAGCCACTGGGACAGGGAAATACAGGAGAGTTTTAAGGGTGATTTTGTACGGCTGTAGGACATATGGAGTACTCTGAGTTGTAGGCACTTCCCTTGCTGTGTAAAAGCTCTTGCAGCAAACATGCCTGCAAGAGCATGTTTGCTGCAAGAGCTTGTTGTAAAATTAGCCTTTTAGTAAAAGTTGTCATGACAGACTCTCCGTGGCCTGACTTGCACAGGGAAACACTGAAATACCAGTTTTTAAAAACAGTTCTCTCAATTAAAATCTGTGTACTCCCTGCAGTTCCTATGTTATTTTTGTCTGTTTTTTCTTTAACTTTCCCTCTGTGGTGCATGAAAGGTCCAGTCAGGCAGTAGAAACCTGTCTGATGTACTGTCTGTGCACAGTGTTGGTGCACACAGCCGGAAAAGATGGTGCTTTCATCTCCTGTCTTCCTGTTTTGGTAAAAGAGAATGATTAAAATGACCACAGATGGGGATGGAGAGGAGGCTATTGAGTGAGCACTCATTCAGCTGGGGCTGTTGGTTCAGCCCGTCGGTGCTCGGTTACGCTTCCGTGGGGTCAGTGCAAGAGCAGACTGTGTGCGGTTACCGTTTGCAAAGCAAATTGTTTCCCTCTAAAAGGGGGGGGACAGTGGAGATGGGGAAACTCCTGTATCTTCCTGCTTATTTTCTGCAGCATGTCTAACACTGCTGTTTTCATAGCTGATTTCTCCTTGCCTAATGGTCAGATAAAGCTAACATCTCATGCTAATGAGCTTCCTCCAGCTTTGTCTGATTAACAAGGGAACAGTGTAGAGCCCTGGGCCAAACGAATCACTTTCTGCTCTCTATTGCTTTTTCAAGTGCAAGGAAAGGATGAGACCAGTGAAAAAAGCGCTGAAGCAACTTGATAAACCTGATAAGGGACTGACGGTTCAAGAGCAGCTGGAGCACACACGCAACTGCCTCCTAAAAATTGGGGACCGCATCTCTGAGTGCCTTAAAGCCTACACTGACCAGGATCATATCAAGCTGTGGAGAAGGTGAGGGATCTTCTTTTTTTTCTTAGGCTGGATAGTTTTATTTTCTTAGGCTGGTCTATGATATTTAAAAATGGTAGTCAGAGGCTGCTGGGTTTTATGTGGATGAGTGTGCCATTTGCCTCTTACCTAACCTGTGAAGTCTTGTGTTCTGAGGTCCACTCTGTCCATGACCCATCTCAGGTGAGGGTTTTGTCTGCAAGTTACGCTGGTTTCATTTAAATTGATTTCAGAGCTAGTTTAAATAAACCAGTGCAAACCTCTTTATTTTACTTTGAAGAACTTGGTTCCAACTCTCCCGATCATCCCATCCTGAGCTGGGTTGGGACTGTTTTCCAGAGAGGGTGGAACCGATTTGATGTTGGTTTGAAAGCAATTAACAGAAAATGTTCATGTCCTTCTAGGAACCTATGGATATTTGTGTCAAAATTCACAGAATTTGATGCCAGAAAACTGCACAAACTCTACAAGATGGCTCATAAGAAAAGATCGCAGGAAGAGGAGGTGAGATCTGAAGTGCCTTCCCTCCAGTTGCTGTCTTTAAAACCTGTTGCACTTTCTGTCTGTTTCGATACTTTCTGTCTCTTATCATGGGCTTTCTTTATTGTTGTTGACATTTTCTTAGCATATAAACAGTCCTGGTTGCGTTTGCTTCCTGTTTCATATGGGATTTCTCCTCTCACCTGACAACACCAGTCACTTTATCTTGGCTGTTCAGACCCTTGCTTGGTGTGGCACGTTGTATTGAGATGATTTTGTGAGTGAGAAGCCTGGGAATTCTGCCCTGTAGAGATAGGGTGTAGAAGCAGAGCTCCATGGGGCAGAACTGCGCCTGTCCTCCACCACGCTTGTACCATTGCCGTTCATACCACACTTGGGCACAGTCAGTTCACAAAGCCCTCAGGAAGAGGTGGGTGGCCCACAGCATGGGGAGTCTCCAGTCAAATGCAGAGCCTGACAGACGAGGCCCTTGTTTGCATAGTCTGGATCTTTGGGTGGAAGAGCAGTTGAGCTGTAACCCTCTCTTGCACCTTGCAGGAACAAAAGAAGAAGGAGGACATGTCCAGCATGAAGAAGCCGTTCCGCCCAGAGCCTTCAGGCTCCAGCCGCGATTCTGTGATGTCCCAGTCTCACGTGCCTCACAATCCTCATTCCCAGAAGATCCACCTGCCCCCTTCCCACACCCAGCAGCAGATGCACGGGCACCCACGTGACAACTACGGCCATCCAAACAAGAGACATTTCAGCAACACAGGTGAGTGCTGGCAAGCCAGGAGAAACCATCCCTTCTAACCTAATAGCTGTTTGCTCTTGGACCCAAATCCTTCTGGGACTTGTGGCTGGTCAGGTTTAAAGGTGGTGGATTGGAACATATATTATCACTGTACTTATTGCTGGACTAGAAAACATGATGATACAGTGATAACAAGACTGTAAGAACAGGACAGAATAAGATTTGCTAGAATAATGATAAAGGAATTCCAAGAATAAGGAATTCAAAGAATAAAATAGGGCCTGCACAGTTTAGGAAGGAGAAAGTTAAAGGGGCTCAGCAATAGTTATCATTTTTTTTGAGAATTCATCAAAGTAATGGGCTTAAACTAAAGTACAAAAGACACTTAATGGTGCTTTCCTCGTTGCAGACCGAGGAGAGTGGCAGAGGGATCGGAAGTTCAACTATGGTGGCAACAGCAACCAAATGTGGGGTGGGGAGCGGCATCACCAGTATGAGCAGCACTGGTACAAGGACCACCACTATGGGGATCGTCGATCTCGTGGGGAGCCCCACCGGAGCTCTGGGAACTACAGACCAAATAACCTTTCCCGCAAGAGGCCATACGAACAGTACAACAGTGACCGAGACCACAGAGGCCACCGAGATTATTACGACAGGTAATTCCCTTTCGTCTCAGAAAGGCTGGGAGGAGTTTGCAACGATGCCCCCGGCCGTGGTGGCCGGGCTTTCCGTGGGGAGCTGATCTCCATGCATTTGTTTTCTCTCTGCAGGCACCACCACGATTCCAAGCGTCGACGATCCGATGAGTTCAGGCCTCAGAACTACCACCAGCAGGATTTCCGACGGATGTCTGATCACAGGCCACCCATGGGATACCATGGCCAAGGACCTTCGGACCACTACCGGTCCTTCCACACAGACAAATCGGGAGATTACAAACAGCCTCTCCCTCCACCTCACCCTGCAGTGTCGGACCCTCGCTCACCCCCCTCTCAGAAATCCCCCCACGATTCCAAGTCGCCTCTCGATCACAGGTCACCTCTGGATAGGTCGTTAGAACAGAAAAACAATCCAGATTATAACTGGAACATTAGGAAAACATAAAGTGACTGAGAGGGGGAAAGCGCACGTCTGAAATACTTGGTTTGATGCAACAGCGGCTGGTTTCTCCAAGCCAGCAACCAGAAACTCTGAACATGCTGCTATCATCTTGCTGGGTCAAGGAGGATTTTGGGGGAGCAGGTGGAGGAAGATTTTTCCCTAGCTCTCTGTTCTGGTTTGGATTCCCGTTTCCTTTCCCCTGTTCTACCATTGAATGCTGGAACCAGCCTTGCTGCCTCATTCTTTGTTTTGTTTTTGTTTTCCCCAGTCCGATGGACCCAAGGGAATTTTCCCCAGCCAGTGTTTCCCCAAACCGAGAAGGCGAATAGATGCTGCTTAGGATTGTGCAGAAGGCTGTGTGCCTGCTCTGACTTGATGTTACGTGACAGATGCTGCTTTGGGATTGGGGATAAACTGGTTGGGCTGGGCTTCGTGTGTAACCAGCACAGGGCAATGGGAGGACACTCGAGGAGGGTCAGGAGGGTCCCTCCATGGCCAAGCTAGGTTGAAAGAGGGACTCGACGTCCCTGCAGAGTGACTCCAAAGGAGCTGGAGCCATGCTGGTGACAATCCATCACTTCTCTGGCCATATTATCATTTTCCTGTCTTTATCCATTTCAAGAAACTGGCTCTGCTTTGAGCGCTGTTATGTCCCCTGCAACAGAAGCGGTGCGGGGCATCCTCCTCCCACCTCAGGGCTGGAACTGGCAAATCTTGACTCTGGGAGGCTTTGGGATATGTGGGGGGGAAAAAAAAACCAAACCCAGACTTCCTTAGCAAAGGTTGATTTCACTGCTAACCAGTAGGGAAGAAATTGGGGTGAGAACAGTATTTCCCAGTGGACAGGGCTCAGGAATTAATAACAAAACTCCTCTTCTTTTCTGACATGGACAGCTTGGATGGCCTAGGAGCTAATACAGATGCTGCCTGGGAGCTGCAAGGTCGAAGGACAGCTCGGGGCATCTGGGGATCCTGAAGCTCCTCATCTCCCTGTCACTGAAGTGCTCTAGTCTTTGGGCAAGTCATTTCTCTCTGCGCTTTGCAAAATGGTGATCACAAACCTTTACTGCACCCAAAGGGTAAGGGATGGAAGAGCAGAGTTAAATAGGAATGGACTGGTAACTGAACGGTCACCTTCCTGCCACTGTTCCAGCAGTCAGCGGTAACGCTGAATTGCTAAAAGTACCTGCACCAAATGACCTTCTGTCTGTCAAAATTTGAAACATGCCTGGGGACTTGGCACCTAAGTGAGCAGGGAGAGAATGAGGAATTCAGGACTGGGTCCTTAAAAATCCTCGCAGCAAGTGTGCTAAGAGCCCAGCATGGCAGAGGGAAAAGAGGAGTCTGCAGCCCAGCTCAGTGGACTTCGGAGCAAACACTCTTCCAAGTATTCGAGACACAGCCTACGATGCAGCACGGTGTCCAGCCGTGGTGTCCAGCTGTGGTGTGGTGGGAGGGGTTGCACACCCTGCATGACTGCTGGCCAGAAGTAGTGTGGGTGATTAGTTTTCAGGTCCTAGGTCCTCGTTCATACCGTCACATCCCTGGAGCCTACAAAGCTCTCCCCGACAGCCGGGCTGCCCAGAGCGTGGTGTCTGGGGATGCGTCACCTCCCGGAGCTCAGTATTAAAGACCAGGCTGCTACAGACTCCTCTCTTGGGTGGGGGACAGAAGCCAAGCCTCCTGTTAAGATGCCAGTATCTGACCCTAATAAGCTGTGATGTCCTTTCCCCGAAAGACTGAAGGGAGACGGGTGTCCAGGGCTGGCTTCCCGACTCCAGCCTGCGCCTTGGAAGGCGCACCCAAACCGACACTAATGCCCCCGTGTCCCCGCTCGATGCAGAGCGTCCCGTGAAACCCACTGCTGTCACCCACTCCTTTCCGAGCCCGCTATTTTAACGGGACACACGGGAAGCATTTTGCTCCCCTTTTGTTTTTATTTTGCAACATTTCCACCAAACGCAGGGCAATTTTGCTTCCTTAGCAGGGAACCGGTACGGGCAAAGCTGTGCTGCCCCAAAAAAGTGTTACGCTTGTGTTTACCTGTGCGGGAGGAGGTGAAGGCGAGTCTTCCACAGTCCCCCTTGGAGCTGCCGGGTGACGGGAGGTGTTGAGGTAGCGCGTTTCCACTGCGTTCCTCACGAAGCTGTGATTGCAGGCGCGCTTGCTGTGATGCTCAACAAAGAGGTCCTTTCTTTTCAGAGGTATTAGCTTTTAATGTGAAAAGGGAAGAAACCTCAGAGGGGCAAAGAGAATTGTTCTTTTTGTTCACCAAGCGGTGCTATCGTGATGGAAAGTTTGTGCCATACACTTGTAGCAAAAGGCAATACTGGCCAGACCAGCGTTAGAGCTGGTGCAAGAAAACTTTGAACCCTAGCAAGAGGCTGCTTCTGGGTCCGGATATGGGTGTTGCTGCTCGTCCTGGCTTCCAGGTATGAGGTTGGTTGGGGTTTCCTTCTTGTGCAACAGCAAAAGCTTTACCCATGCCCACTGAAGAGCTGTCCCCGCTGTCACGTTAGCCTGATACTGAAGTCACGTAGTTTTGTTCACTTGTGGTGGGTGGGTCTTCACTGGGTTTGGCTTTAATGAAGCTGGAGAATTAGATTTGGGAGAAAGTCCTCCCTGAGCACACACTCCCCTCCCTTCCCCCAAGCGTGTATTTTATGCCCCCTCAACAGGGACCATAACCAGGCACAGTCACTTGGATGTGAGTGGGATCAGAGGGGACAGGTCCACAGCCATAAACTTCACTGTGGTGTTTGTGTCAACATCTGGTACAGCTTTTCCTTCTGAACCAGCTGTGTGATTCCCTCTAGCCTCTTGGCAGGAAAAAGTAGCAACTTGCTGGGGTTTTATTTAAAAAAAAAAAAAAAAAAAAGTTTTTTCAGCCTGACCCCTTTGGAAATGGTGTAAAGTTGTGAATTCACACGACAGAAGTCCTGCAGACCAAAACCCGCTGTGGACAGGCGATGCGATGCCCAACCAAAGTGGATACCGAACAGCTCTCTGAAGTGAACAGTTTAAGTGATCCACACAAAGATGCTATTCTGCTTTCACCTGTTTCCTCCCGACCTCCACCTCCCCTCCGGGGAGAGAAGGACTCTTACTGTAAAAAATGTGGACTTTTAAACCTGTTGACTAAAAACAGTAATTAATATTAATTTATATTTGTGAAAAAATGCCACTGTCCTAGTGATTTCTGATGTAAATATGTTGTTTATATAGTATGTATTAAATTTTCCTACATTGTAAAACTGCTGTACTTTTGATTCTTGTATATTAAAAAGTGTTACTGAGATTTTCAGAACCGTGCCCGCGTGGTGTGTCTGGGGGGTCCCGCAGCCCCTCGGTACGGCGGCAGCTCTGCTGGAAGCACGGGGTGAGCACCTAAAACTGGGGATCAGAGGGGACAAGAGGGCCCTTTCCTGCCAGCCATGGGCATGCTGGGATGGGTGTTTCCACGGAGCAGGAATAAGCGTGTTCTTCTCGGCTGTTTTACATAGTTTTGCAGTCTGTGGTGATGGAGACTTGGAAACCCCTTCAGATGGGAATTTCCACCCGATCAGGAGAAGCTGTGCATTTCCTCGCCCGTTTCCACCAGGATTTCACTGGGATCATACCAATGCGTTTATCCAACCTCCATCTTTTCTGGATCTCTGTGCGTATGTAAACTTCTTTTTGACCCCTTTTTTGGGGGGGAGAATTCCCCTTTCTCTAGGAGAAGTGCTGCTCCCGCTGCATTGGTGGGGTTCTCTGCTCCATCCCTGGCCCCTCCGGGGCAGGACGTGCATCTCCCCTCCCCAGGTGGGATGCGATGGCATCCTGTGGGCTGCTTTGGTTTGGTCTTTACCCCCCACCCGTTCACACTGAGGCCCACACAGCAAGACACGGTGCAGGGATTGAAGCCGTTTCTCCCAAGTTATAAGAGCTCATTGTAAAAAGGGCTTTTCACACCTGTAGCCACTGGGTCCAGCCCTTCCCTCTGCTGCTGAGCCAAGTTTCAGCCAAGAGTGAAATTTCACAGCTGAGTTATGTGCCCCTGAAAAATGGGATTTCCTAATGGAAAGAATGACTGGCTGTTAGCCGTGGGGCTGTGGCAGGGAGAGGGGCTCGGCTGGGGGACTACGGGGAGCTGGTCCAGGTGTCCCTGCCCAGAGCACAGCGGTGTGAATCTACCAGAGGAAGGTGACCTTTTTAATTCAGCACTGACTCCATCTTTTATCCAGGGGTACCCATGGGAAAACTGGAGAAGCAGAGGCCTGAGGAACCAGAACAGTGGGGGCAGGTAAGGATACAGGCACCCTGATGCCAGGGGGCATCAGCATCAGCTCCCCGGCACCGCTCCGCCCGCCATCCCCCTGCCAGCCCATTTCTGCAGCACTGTGCTCCAAACAGTTAAATCCTGAGTCCTCGTCAAAGCCCATGGGGAAATGACCCCTTGGCGTGATGCAACCTCTGCATCCCTGCAGGCCCAGTTGGTCCTGCCGGAGCATCTCCTCCATAAGGACGTGGTCCATGTGGCGCCGTGGCCACCCCAGGGTGCTGGGCAGGGCCGAGGGCCAGGGCTGGGCTGTGTATGCATTGAGCAGGCTGGAGCTTTGGCTTGTCTCGGTGAGGGGACCCATTGCCCAAGGTGGTCGGCCAAGCCACCATGCAGCTGCGGGGAGCAGGACCCCCAGCCCTGCCTCATGCCAACCCCGGTGAGGGGACAGGGAGGCTGAGAAGCCCCCCCTTTTTGCTTTAGGCCTTGCCAGAGCAGACCCTCTAGAGGGCAGCCGGTTCCCAGCAAAAAGCCATTTTTTGGTGAACAATATTCTGCAGCTGTGGTTGTTCCCAGAAACCCGGGTGTGAAGGAAGGCCAGGTGGCTGCAGTGTCCCCGCTCCCCCAGCGGGGCAGGAGCAGCCAAGGCTCTGGTCTAAGGCCAGGGGATGGGCAGGCACAGCCAAAACAGGGCTTAAAACCATACCTGAGACACCAGGCTATGGCACTTAAGCAGTCATCTACTGCAGGGCGATGTGCTTCAGGCAGAGGGGTGGGATGGGATGGGATGGGACGGCCCGCAGAGGCTGGGTCTGCACCCTCACCGGCCATGGAGTATGACTTGGAGAGCAATTTGAACCTCTCAGATGCCATGGGGTCACTGCTGCCATCACTGCCCCTACGTTCCTGCATGGCCCGTGCCTTCCCCATTCACCTCCTGGGGAAGCTGCAGTGCCACACGTGATTAATGAGGATGGGGCATCCCGGTCGCTCTGGGGTCACCATCCCCTTACATCCAGCACTTTGTCCCACCAGGAGACACAGGAGTGCTCTGGCTGCCCGCTCCCCACCCAGGGCTGATGAGCAGGGGACCATTGGTGATGTCCTGGCAAGGCAGCAAGCGAGGGAGACCCCCAGCCCCGCATCCTCTGGGCAGTTTTTAGATGATTTTGCAGGTTTGGCTAAAGCTGAGCTCTTTTGAGCTGGTGCAAGTGGTGGCAGAGGGAGTGGGTTTGGCTCTTTCCGAAAACTGCTGGCTCTTCAGGGCTCTGAAGGAGGGGGAGGTTGGGTCTCAAATCTCAGGTGCTGGCTGTCTTTGAGGGGATTTGCCCAAGTAACGTGTGTTTTCAGTTGGTGCCAGTGTCCCACCCAGCCTCAGCATCTCCCTGACGCCAGCTGCAGGGGCAAGGAGTCCTTCAGCTTTTCAAAAAGGGAAAATGAACAAAAAAATTGTAGTTTTGGTTTCCCTCGTTAGAGGGCAGTAACAGACTCGACGGGGGCCAGGAGCGATGGCCAAGAAAGGGGAGATCATCGGGGCGTGCATCCCAGCTGCTGGGTGAGCAGGGGAAGGGTGATGGTACCTGCTTGGACTCCATTGCCTCCTTTCCCAGCGAGGCTCAGCTCCAATAGTTTATTATCTATATTTTCTTCCGCCACCCCCTTTTTATTTTTCTCATGTAGCTGTAGATAAATAAAACCCTTTCTTAAGAGAATTTAGGACAGCTCTCAAAGGGTCCTTGGGTTACAGATGGAAGAAAGCTCCTTCAGGGAATGCAGAAATGGGGCAGCATTTGCATCCCAGGTGGCAAACAGCACCCTCCAACACACCGGGAACAAAACGAGACTCACTCACTTATCAAAAAAACTCAAACTTTACTTGCGTTTCTCTCAATAAATAATTTACAGTATATACACGCGGTGACACTCCCATGGGTCTCAACGCAGGGAGGAGGTGGGGGGGGCTTCTCATAATGCCCCCTTCCCCCTTTGCCTACGTTTTTTTTTTGTTTGTTTGTTTCCAAGTATTGGGTCTTTCTTGGCCACACTTCACCTTTAACCAGAACTGAGTCAAACACAAGCAAAATAAAGTGCTTCACTGTTTGCTTCTAAAATAGGGATACCCCAACCACCGTACAACAGCCAGCCACCACTGGAGTGCTCACCTGGACAGTGGGACTGAGCCATGCCGTAACCAAATATAGACTTTAAATTACCCCTAAACCACAAGGCATCGTGCCGTAGGATAACTGCTTTATAGGAAAGGGAGGTTTGGGGGACTTGTTGGCACGCTGTGGCTTGGCCAGATAAATCTGCTTCCAAGCAGCACCGTATCTTCAGAGGGATGCTTTGCACAGCTGCTGTTATCTATGGGGTAACACAGCAAGAAACAAATGTTTCCTCTTACCCAGTGACAAATTTTGGCTCTCAAAATGTGCAGGTTGAATTTCTACGGAAGACAAAAACGTGGTTCTTTCTTGAACAAAGGAAACAAAGAAGTCTGAATCAGCCTGGCTGAGCAATTAGTGCATTGGGAAGCTAAACTGTCCTGTGCCGTGGTCCAGTGGTTGCTCTCCTCAGCGCCTCTGAACTGTGATATCCTTATTTCAAAATCTCCCTAAATAGAATACCTGGGGCACCAGCAAACAAAGCAAGGAGCAAAGTAGTAAACACATCTTTTTGTTTCTTTTCTTTCCTTAAACATTTAAAAACCAATTACATCTCTTCATCTGTACAGTCACACGAGATCAATGCCAGGGCTCTATATATTAAAGAGACAATATAAATTACATCCATTGACACAATTTTGCATTTCTCTGCTGCTTTACAAACGGAGCTCTAGAGCTGTTAGGACACAACGAATAGTCACGTTGAGTATTTACACCAGGCTGCCTCTTGGCACCAGTTCAGACTGCCCAACGTAGCCTGTTCCCACCTCTTTTGGTGCTAGCTTGCCTCGTCATGCCCTGAGACCTCCCTTGAGAGAAGGAGGTGCCCCCAAGAGTGACGAGTGTTTTGGGGCTTGTTTCCGGGAACCTCCCCCTGAGGAAAGGAGGGGAAACCCATCAGGAGGTCTCCAAGATGCAGACCAAGGGTGGTCTTGCTGTTTGTTCAGTGAGTAATGAGGTGAACCACAGAGGAACATGGAGAGGAGGAGATGGGCAGCATTACGTGGTGGGGGAAGATTATCGATCGTTTTGAGGCAGGGAACAAACATTTGGAGGCAGTTGGGGGGTCCTCTGCTGCATTCCATCTCCTGGCTGGATTTCTAACATTGCCCCATTTCCGATTCAAGCCCAGAAGGGCTTAAGGTGCAACTGGTCTGCAATGGGGTTGCAAGTCGCGGCCTCAGGATGAGGAGTGGAGCAGAGACCTAGCAGCAAACAAACAGAGCATGATGCTCCTGCTCCATCCCAGGGCCTGGCCGAGCCATGGGCAGGTGAGTGGGTGCAGGGCTGGAGGGAGGTGCGGTTTTAGGGGTCCCCGCTGCCAGTTTTAGGGGTCTGGAGAGCGAGGAACTCATCCGATGCTGGGCAGAAGTTACAGAAACTGCTTGAATACTGGCCAGGTTTCTCCCGTTGCCATCAAGAGTCCTCAGTGGATCTGGGCAGGGACAAGGGAGCCAGGAATACAGCTACTGAGTGAATCAGCCAAATGAACTGGCTAAAATAGGAGATACCCTTTGAACCACAGCAAACGCAAGCTGAGGCTTGAGGAACGTGTCCTCCTTCCACCCAGACGATGCCTGGCACTGGCAGCCAGGCAAGCGTGGGACCATTCCCCATCATTTTGGCCCTTTGCACCACTTTCTGCAAAAACGGAACTGCAGGCAGAGTGGGACGGCCCAGGCGAGCAGAAAGCCCAGCTCTGTTGTGCTGGCCAGGCTTGGCCCCATTTCGCTGCTCTGTGCCCTCCTCATGGGCTCTGCTCTCTGAAGACATAGCCACGTCCATGCACGCCAATGTCACAGTCACCACGTGCATTTTCGGGACGTGGGGGAGCGCTGCAAGAAGGTGGGGGCCCCTCGGCACCCACGCTACTGGGAGGAAGAGGAGGAGGAGAGGGGGAGGTGAGGAAGGTCCAGACAAGGTACAGTCCAGCAAAAACTCCTGACTGGTCCCATTGGCAGCACATTCCTCCCAGGCAAGAGCTGGGAAGGTGGAGGACCTTGTGCCAAAGAGAGGGGCTGAGGTCTGAGGACAACCCGTGCGGCTCTGATATCCAACGTCCTGTTGTCCAGTACTGCCATCTCATCACTGGTTCCCTCCTGCTCCCTTTTCCCTGCTCTCCACGGTGCGAAGGAGCAAACCTCTATAACAAGCACAACCAACACTGACTCAAACACAGCAGTGCTACCCAGAGGGCAGGGGGGGTCCCCAAGGGAGCCATGTTGCCTGGGGCCAGGTCCCGTGTCCTTTCATAGAGGTGTAGCTTGTCTTTGTTGGAGTGAAGCATCTTCACGTCCTCAAAGGCATAGTAAGCAGCCAGCATGAAGTTGACGTCCCCAGTGGTGAGGAGGTCGAAGACGCAGGACTGAAAGTAGAGGTCCTCCACGGGCAGCTTTTCCCTGCACTTGGCCGTGGCTGTTTCGTATGTGAAGGCCTCAGGGGGGGCCGGCAGGCTGGGCCCCTTCCTACGAGCACGACCCTCTGTGGCCTGAGCCGAGCGGATGGTCTGGAAGTCAATCTGTTGGTTGAGTGGACAACCACGGAGGCACAGGTAGAGGCCCTGACTGTCCCGGTCCTCCACGGCGTTGACCACCTCCTCCGGCATGCGCACGGCGAAGGTGAGGTACCGGCCCACCTGCCTCACCACAATGGTGGTGCCAATGTATTTTGCCTGGATCTCAATGTGTTGGCCCGACACCTTCTCAGTGATCTTCAGACTGTTGGCTCCATGCTTGTCCCCACCATTCTTGGAGCCATCTGCAAAGGCAGCGGGCAGCTCATCCATCTCTGCCTGGTACACTTTCTGATCCACACACTCCTGGAAGCTCTTGAAGATGATGGTGAGCTGTGGGGGAGGAAAGAAAGGAACAGCGTTACAACCATGACCACCTGAGAACATACAGCTGTCACCAGGAGCAGCATGGGAAGTGGAAGAGCG